ATGGAAGGTCATGGAAGGTCATGGAAGGTCGTGGAAGGTCATGGAAGGTCATGGAAGGTCATGGAAGGTCATGGAAGGTCATGGAAGGTCATGGAAGGTCAACAGAAACTCTTTGAGGTCATGGAAGGTCATGGAAGGTCATGGAAGGTTATAGAAAGTAATGGAAACTCTTTCAGGTCAATGGAAGGTCCTGGAAGGTCACAGAAGGTCATGGAAAGCCATTGAAGGTCATGGAAGGTCACGGAAGGTCAATGGAAGGTTATAGAAAGTAATGGAACCTCTCAGGTCGTGGAAGGTCCTGGAAGGGTGTGGAAGGTCACGGAAGATCAAAGGAAACCTTTCAAGGTCCTGGCAGCTCAAACCCAACCCCAATGACCGGAACCAGGTCCTGGCAGCTCAAACCTTGATTCCCAGGTCCTGGCAGCTCAAACCTCCATCCCAATGATCAGAACCAGGTCCTGTCAGCTCAAACCCCAATCCCAGCTCCTGGCAGCCCCATATCCAGCTCCTGCCAGCTCAGACCCCAATCCCAGGTCCTGGCAGCTCAAAGCTCAGTTCCCAGGTCCTGTCAGCCCCATATCCAGGTCCTGCCAGCTCAAACCGCCCCCCAGGTCCTGTCAGCTCACCGCTCAGGTCGTCCCCGCGGTGCGTCCAGGGCTCGGCGCCGTCGAAGTGCGTGTCGCCGCCGATGTGGGGCCCGGGGAAGAAGGCGTGGGCCAGGAATCCGCCGGGGCCGTCGAAGGGCGCCGAGTCTCCGTGGAAACCCTCGGCGAACAGCACCATGATGTCGGCGCCCGGCGCGGCGCCCGCGCGGATCTGCCCGTACGGAACCTCCCGGAAGCGCAGGGCGGGCGCGGCCGACGACCACACCTGGAAGGCGCGGCGGATGGCGGCCCAGGTGGCGGCCTCGCCCACCTTGGGGGTGTAGTTCTGGATGCTGGCGGAGGGGAGGGGACAGGTGTGTCCAGGTGTGTCCCCAGGTGAGGTTTTGGTGTCCCCAGGTGTGTCCAGATGTCCCCAGGTGTGCCCCAGGTGAGGTTTTGGTGTCCCCAGGTGTCCCCAGGTGTGTCTCAGGTGTGGTTTTGGTGTCCCCAGGTGTCCCCAGGTGTCCCCAGGACCACACCTGGAAGGCGCGGCGGATGGCGGCCCAGGTGGCGGCCTCGCCCACCTTGGGGGTGTAGTTCTGGATGCTGGCGGAGGGGAGGGGACAGGTGTGTCCAGGTGTGTCCCCAGGTGTGTCCCCAAAGCCCTCCAGGTGTCCCCAGGTGTGTCTCAATAACCCTCAGGTGTCCCCAGGTGTGCCCAGGTGTGTCTCAGGTGTCCCCAGGGGTGCCCAGGTGTGTCTCAGGTGTCCCCAGGGGTGCCCAGGTGTGTCTCAGGTGTCCCCAGGGGTGCCCAGGTGTGTCTCAGGTGTCCCCAGGGGTGCCCAGGTGTGTCTCAGGTGTCCCCAGGGGTGCCCAGGTGTGTCTCAGGTGTCCCCAGGGGTGCCCAGGTGTGTCTCAGGTGTCCCCAGGGGTGCCCAGGTGTGTCTCAGGTGTCCCCAGGGGTGCCCAGGTGTGTCTCAGGTGTCCCCAGGGGTGCCCAGGTGTGTCTCAGGTGTCCCCAGGGGTGCCCAGGTGTGTCTCAGGTGTCCCCAGGGGTGCCCAGGTGTGTCTCAGGTGTCCCCAGGGGTGCCCAGGTGTGTCTCAGGTGTCCCCAGGGGTGCCCAGGTGTGTCTCAGGTGTCCCCAGGGGTGCCCAGGTGTGTCTCAGGTGTCCCCAGGGGTGCCCAGGTGTGTCTCAGGTGTCCCCAGGGGTGCCCAGGTGTGTCTCAGGTGTCCCCAGGGGTGCCCAGGTGTGTCTCAGGTGTCCCCAGGGGTGCCCAGGTGTGTCTCAGGTGTCCCCAGGGGTGCCCAGGTGTGTCTCAGGTGTCCCCAGGGGTGCCCAGGTGTGTCTCAGGTGTCCCCAGGGGTGCCCAGGTGTGTCTCAGGTGTCCCCAGGGGTGCCCAGGTGTGTCTCAGGTGTCCCCAGGGGTGCCCAGGTGTGTCTCAGGTGTCCCCAGGGGTGCCCAGGTGTGTCTCAGGTGTCCCCAGGGGTGCCCAGGTGTGTCTCAGGTGTCCCCAGGGGTGCCCAGGTGTGTCTCAGGTGTCCCCAGGGGTGCCCAGGTGTGTCTCAGGTGTCCCCAGGGGTGCCCAGGTGTGTCTCAGGTGTCCCCAGGGGTGCCCAGGTGTGTCTCAGGTGTCCCCAGGGGTGCCCAGGTGTGTCTCAGGTGTCCCCAGGGGTGCCCAGGTGTGTCTCAGGTGTCCCCAGGGGTGCCCAGGTGTGTCTCAGGTGTCCCCAGGTGTGTCCCCCCTCACCTGTAGGTGATCTCGGGCTGCTCCCAGGTGTGTCCCAGTAACCCCCAGGTGTCCCCAAACCTCTCCAGGTGTCCCCAGGTGTCCCCAGGTGTGTCCCAGGTGTGTCCCCTGTCCCCTCACCTGTCCCCAGGTGTGTCCCCCCTCACCTGTAGGTGATCTCGGGCTGCTCCCAGCGCAGTCCCTGCAGGGCGAAGCGGCGCCGCCGCACCTGAGCCTTCACCTGCGCCCCGAACTTATCGGGGACCCCGCACCTGGGCCTCAGCATGGCCCTGTGGGACCAGTACGGACCAGTATGGACCAGTACGGACCAGTATAAACCAGTACAGACCAGTATGGACCAGTATGGACCAGTACGGACTGGTATGGACCAGTATGGACCAGTACAGACCAGTACAGACCAGTATAAACCAGTATAAACCAGTACGGACCAGTACGGACCAGTATAAACCAGTACGGACCAGTACGGAACAGTCCCAGTCCCTTCCCCAGTCCCCCCAGTCCAAACCAGTTCCAAACCAG